TAAGGGCAGCACCTCCAGCGTCCTAACCACCTCCCACTAGGTCCCATCCCTTAAAGGTTCCACCACTTGAACACTGCCACGCCGAGGACTAAGCTGCCAGCACATGAACTTCTGGGGAACACAGCCAAACCATATTCAAACTGCAGCATAGCCTCATTTTTTACTCTTGTTATCTACATATGTAAGGGTGTGTGTGTGTGTGTGTGTGTGTGTGTGTGTGTGTGTGTGTGTGTATTCATAGTGGAGATACAGTCCACTGCCAGTTCTCAGAAAACAAAGCAAGAGAATTCTGTCTTCCTCCTGCTGCCACCTCTGCTTCCTCCCTTTGTCAGAGATGCCTCTCATTCTCTCCATCTTTCCTACAGATCACAGAGAGCCATATTCGGCCATATTCCACATGGCAGCTGCAGCTCTGTGCCTCTCCATGGTGATTCCTGAGATCTTCTAGCTCTGGGATCTTGCATGTCTGTTCAACATTTTTTATTTTTGGGTAATGATAATTTTATTTCTTCTTTTCCAACAGTTGTACATTTTTCTGCCATTTTGTGTTTTGAGAAGAACCTTCTAGTACTTGACTGTGCTTTACCTGGGCTATTTCTTAGGACATGTTTGCAAGGGGCAATCTCAAGGGATGAGTCAACATCTCTCTCCAGCAAAGAGCAGCTTGCTTCTGCTTTCTATAAAAGCAGTGATTTGCCGGGCGTTGGTGGCTTACGCCTTTAATCCTAGCTACTCAGGTGGCAGAGATCAGGAGGGTCGTGGTTTGAAGTCAACCTAGGTAAATAGTTCTCGAGACCCTATCACGAAAAAAAAAAAACCCTTCACAAAAATAGGGCTGGTGCAATGGCTCAAGGTGAAGACCCTGAGTTCAAGCCCCAGTACCACAAAAAAAAAAAAAAAAAAAAAAAACCCAGTGATTCAGTGGCTCATGCCTGTAATCCTAGCTCCCGAGGAGGCTGAAATCAGGAGGAATGTGGTTCTGGCCATTCCAGGCAAAAAATTAGCAAGACTTCATCTCAACCAATAGCTCGGCTTAGTGGCAAGCACTTGTCATCCCAGCTACACAGGAGGCTAGATTAGGAGAATGGTGGTACCAGGCCAGCCTGGGCAAAAAAAGTTCTCCAGATCCCACCTTAACAGAAAAAGCTGGATATAGTGGTGTGGCTACCCAAATCCAGCTCCCACTGGAGGTGTAGATAGGAGGACTGTGGTCCAGACTGGCCTAGGCATAAAAGCAAGACCCTAACTCAAAAATAATCACAGAAAAAAGGGCTGGAGGCCTGGCTCAAGAAGAGCACCTGCCTAATAAGAGTAAGCCCTGAGTTCAAACCCCAGTACTGTCCATTCCCCAAAGGCAGTGATTCCCCAAGCTCTGTGTTCTGTTTTTGGTGATGGGCACCCTCATCTTGTTATCTGATCTTGTTACTGGCACGATATCAAATAGTTTAAAGCATAAATCTAGACAGTCTTTTTTGTTTGCTTTTTTTGAGCTAGAGTCTCTCTGTGCAGCCTAGGCTAGCCTAGAACTTGCTGTGTACCCCAGGCTGTCATTGACTTTATGATCCTCCTACCTCAGTTTCCCAAGTGTTGGCATTAAAGGCATGCACCACAATGCACAGCAATAGCCATGTTTTTTAACTTTAATCTGTTGGTATAGTAAATTTTTGTTGATTATAGTAAATTTTGTAGACTAGCCTGTGTGCCTGGAAACTTACTTTGGTCATTTCCTGTTATTTTCTTTTTTTTAAAAATATTTTGATGAATTCTGTTTTCTAATAGTTGTGTTGAAAGTTTTCTACTGATGTTGATGAATGCATAATGGAACTTGTGGCCTAACCTCATTAGGTTGATATCTTGTGGAAACATAAATGGCAACATTTTTCATAGACTTTTAAATATTAAAACCCAGCATTATAGGCATAATGTCACAATATCCATAATATAATCCAAAATTACTTTACGTTTAAAGTGCTAGTAAATCTCACCTAGCATGGGGAAGAGAATCAACCATGGTTACACGGACATTAAGTGTGCATCACTCATCTCTGAGCAGGGATTGTTTTCTTTTCCAGCTCTTACATAAGAATACTCAGATGACAAAGATTTTGAAACAATCTGACAAACTTTACAGTAGCTGTTATCAAAGTACTCGAACAGAAAATCTCTACTCTCGGGATGTAAGCTAAAGTAGGCAATGGTTTAGCAAAATGTGTGCAGGTGTGTGCAGTGTAAGAAAAAAATAACACAAACACATGACAACATTTTCACAATTATGAGCCTAAGAGGGGGGTATTCATTGTATTAGTCCTGCAACTTTTTTAAGTTAAAAAATTATGAAACTATTGATTCCACTAATACATATAACATGGATGAGTCTCAGAAACATATGCTAAATCAAAGAAGTCAAACACAAAGGATGACATTATTGTAAAGGTATTCATATTCCTCTTATTGTGGATTATGGAAAAAACAAAACTATACTAATGGAAAGAGGATTCATGGTTGCCAGGAACTAGGGTTGAGGAGAGAGACTTGACTGCAAAGGAATGCTGGGCGTGGAGGTTGATAACTGTAGTCCTAATACTTGGGAGGTGGAAGCAGGATAGCAAGTTCCAGGCCAGTCTGGGTTACACAGTGAGTTTCAGGCCAATCTGGGCTACAAGACCCTGTCTCAAAAAAAAAAAAAAAAAGTCATGGAAACTTTTGGGGGATGTTGGAGGTGCTCTGAATCATGGCCATGGTTGTAATTATGTTACTGCTACTGCAAGTTTGTCAAAAATTAATCAAATGAAGCAATTAAAATTGGTGAATTCTATTGTATATAAATTATTCTCCATAGTGGATTGAATTGTCCCCCCAAAAGATATGTCTAAATTCTGTCTAACCCCTTACTACCTGTAAAAGTAACAGGAATGTAGGATCTTTGCAGATACGATTAAGGATCTTGAGATAAGATCACGTAAATCCAGGTGTCATTATAAAAGGGTGTAGAGGGAGATTTAAGACACAGAGAAGACCCAGAAGGAAAGGACATTGAAGACAGAGCCAAGAAATGGAATGATACAGCTGCAAGCCCAGGAGACCAAGGATTACAATTTCTCCACCATAAACTAGAAGAGGGGCATGAAACTGGTTTGCCCTCAGACACTCCAAAAGGAACCAACCCTGCTGACACCTTTATTTCAGACTTCTGACCTCCACAACCGTGAGACAATACACTTCTGTTGTTTAAGTCAAAACAAAACTAAAAAAAAGTCCAAAATGGCCATGGAGAACACTCCAATGATGAATCACAAATATTCTAGAAACCAAATGGAAAAATAGGAAGTCTCTCTCAGTAAAGAAATAGAAGATATAAAAAAAGCACTATAAATTTAAAAATGAAAAACACAATAAGCAAAATACAATCTCAAATCACAAATGGCATAAACTGAAAGGAATTCACACTAGATAATATCATAACAAAGCTATTAAAAACTAAAGAAAAATACATGAAAGCAGTCCCAGTCCCCCATCCCATGTATTTCCAAAGGGGAACAGCAATTCAGATCGCTGTAGATTTCTCATCAGAAACCATTTATCTCCCCAACAGGTACTACTAGAGACAGAAAATCAGTAAGGAGATAACTGAAAAATATTAACCAATTGGATCTAATTAACACCTACATAACACTCTACCCAGCAAAAGCAGAATATACTTTATTTTTAAGTACACATGGAAAATTCATTGAGATATACTGTATCTTGAGTCATATTAACAAAGCAAAAAAGGACAAGACACAAATTACCAATACATACTCCCTCCTTATCTATGGGGGTATGTGCCAAGATCCCCAGAGATGCCTGGATAGTAGAGACCCTATATATATATTTTCTATATAGTACATAAATACTGATAAAGTTTATTTATAATTTATAAATTAGGCATCGTAAGAGATGAATAACAATAACTAATAGTAAAATCTAACAATATACTGTAAACTTATACCATCAGCTTCCCTAGTTGAGGTCTCAGGACTTGAGCTAAACAATGGTATCAACTTCCCAGGGTCTCCAGCATATTATAGCCTGGCAAGGGACTTCTCAGCCTCCATAATCACATAAGCCAATCTGCTTAATAAACTTATTCTTATCTATCTCTCTCTCTCTCTCTCTCTCTATATATATATATATATATATATCCTACTGGTTTCATATTTCTGGAAAATTCTGGCCATACCTGTCATAACAGGTATCCACCACTGTAGTATCAGAAGTTTCAAAGCTCTAAAACAGTCTAGGTTCAGCCCTCTCTCCCTGCAAACTCCTGGCAACCACTGATCTGTCTGCATGATTTTGCCTTCTCTAGAGTGTCCTAAACCAGAACTACACATTCTGTAGTCTTTTCAGATTGGCTTCTTTTTCTTAGAAATATATATTTGATTCTTCTGTTTCTTTGTTACTTTGTATCTCATGTCTTTTTACTGATGAGCAACATTCCATTGTATGGATGTACCATGCTACTGAAAGACATCTCAGTTACTAAGTGTTGAAAATAATGAAAAGCTAGTCTCAAAACTTATATACAGTCAGGAGACAGTAGCAAAATAGTTGGTGAGACCCTGTCTAGAATAAACACTCAACCAAAAAAAGGGCTGGTGAAGCGGTTCAAGTGATAAGAGCACCTGGCTAGCACGTCTAAGGCCTGACTTCAAACCCCAGTACCACCTTATTAACATTTGTTGTTGTCAGTGTTTTGGGTTTTAACTATTCTAATATGTGCATAGTATTATCTTGTTAGAACTTGCTTTTCCCTGACGACCTGTGCTGTTCCACATCTTTTATGTGCTTATCTGTATGGTGAAGTATCTACTGAGATCTTTTGCCATTTATAATCAGGTTGCATTTTAAGATTTTCTTTTTTCGTATCTTGGGTAAGAGCCCTTTAGCAGATGTCTTTGATAAATATTTTCTCTCTGTGGCCTGTTGTCTTGGCATATGTATCTTTTTACAATATGTAATCATTGTACACGCAATTGTGTAACTTGTTTTTTAATAGGATGCTAGTAGCAGGCATTTCCTATTTTTGCTTGAGCGTTCACAATTGCCATGTTACAAGGCTACAAAACCATCACATTTCTTCCTCGACAGATTGAATAGGACTTTGCCTGCGGTTCTGGCAGCACCGACACCCACATCCTGCATTCCGCAAGGCGGAGATCACTTCCTTAGTCCCACTGGCTGCTGACCGAGCGCCCCGCGGTTGGCAGGCCTCCGGGTTCACTCCCGGCTGCGGCGCGGAGCGTGCGCGCCGTCCCCCGGCGCGCAAGGGGCGGAGGCAGGCGGCGTCCACTCCCTCCCGGCTCCACTCGTGCGCGGACTGCGCGGACCCGCGGGCCGGTCTCTGAGCGCGGCGCTCCCGTCCCGCCCACCCTGCGGGCATCGGAGCGCGGCGGTGCAGGACTCGCGGCGGAGCGCAGGTGGACTGGGCTGGACTGCGAGGCCACCAGGCCGGACGCGGTGACCTGGGCGGCGCGGGGCCGCGCAGCTGGACGGCTATTCGCCGAGCTCCGTCCCGGTTGGGCCCACGTTGGGACTCGGGTGCTCAACCCGCCCAGCAGGGCTGCTGAGGCGCCAAAGTAAGTCCCGACTCGCCCACCGCCGATTTTTCCTTCCCCTGGGCCTCGGCAAGCCTGCAGCGGAAACGAAAGTAAAGAACGCTGGGGTGCATCTGCGCAGAGCCCGGAGGCCGCCGTCCTCCGCTAAGGGCTTCCCGGAGGGGGCGGGGCGGGGCCACCCCAGCCCGCGTGTGGGAGGAGGGCGGGGCGCGCCCGCTTCCCGACGGCTGACAGTGGGCGGAGTCTCCTTAGCCCGCGTGCAGGAGGTGGGCGGGGCGCGCCCGCTTCCCCACGGCTGACAGTGGGCGGAGTCTCAGCCCGCGTGCAGGAGGTGGGCGGGGCGCGCCCGCTTCCCGACGGCTGACAGTGGGCGGAGTCTCCTTAGCCCGCGTGCAGGAGGTGGGCGGGGCGCGCCCGCTTCCCGACAGCTGACAGTGGGCGGGGCCTCCCGAGCCCGCCTGCAGGAGGTGGGCGGGGCGCGCCATCTTCCGGAAGGTTGACAGTGGGCGGGGCCGCGAGCCTTCCCGGAAGTCGGGCGCGGACCGCGGTGCTGTGCACCGCCCTGCAGAAGCTGGCTGCGCTGTCCTTGCAGTGGAATTCCAGTCGCGACAGGAGCGGAGATGTGCCCTCGGGCCACGATTGTGGTGTGACGGTGGAACAGAGGCTTCATCGCTGTTACTGTCGTTGTTTGGGTAGGGATGATGGGTTGTTATTGCAGTTTTTTGGGGGTTTTTTTGCGTAATGGGATTTGAACTCAGGGCCTACACCTTGAACTACTCCACCAGCCCTTTTTTTGTGAAGGGCTTTTTCAAGATAGGGTCCCGCGAACTATTTGCCCAGGCTGGCTTAGAACCACGATCCTCATGATCTCTGCCTCTTGAGTAGCTAGGAGCCACCGGCGCCCAGCTATTGCAGTATCTTGAGAAAAATGTGCGTGTTCTTGCCATAACAGGCTTACCTAATGTTTCGGGCTGGTACTTCTTATCAAGCTTTAGTAATTGTTGCACTTGGGTCGCAGCAGGTTGTGGAGACAATCGAAAGCGTTTCCACATCATCTTAGACGTGAGCTGGCACATGGATAAGGAGAACTCAACAGCCACAGTGACCAAAGGAACGAATGGTCGTAAATGGCACTTGCTTTTCTGAAGTGCTACAGACCCTCTTCAGGGCTGGCAAAGGATAAGCTGCGTCCTCCTCACCTACGCATTTGATAAAGCTTCTCTTGCGAGGATGCGTGTGAGGATGTCCAGGCACGATCATTGTTTCTTGCTGATCTTTGACTCTTCCTTGCAGAGAGCTCTTGTTTCTCTTGGGCAAAGCGTGAAACTGTTTTAATCAAGGAACTTTGCAGAAGTCCTTTAGTCTTTAGGCCTCTATTAACTCTTCCCTGATTTACACTTGAAGAAATGGAGTGAACTTTGAAATGTGGTGAGTTAGTACTTACCTGCAGTTTGTAACCATCAAGAAGGTACCAAAGTAAGGAAGAAATGGTGATCTGTTAAAAATGTGGACTACCACCGTAGCTCTTCCATACAGAAAAAAAAAAAGGAAGACTAAGTTTGTTTAAAGTGAAATTGAAGTGTTACGTCATTTTATTACTGATAAAATAGCAAAAACAATTGACATTAATTTTCATTTTCCTCTTTCTGCACTACATTGAGCCCCAGAGATTGATTATATTATACTTCCAGGATTGTGGATGCTAATGAATATTTAAAATGCCTAAAATATCAACTCCCAAACTGGGCAAGATACTATTTGGTGCTTATTAATCCATAAAATGTTAATACCACCAATTTGATCGGGAATTTGAAACAAAAACTGTACCTTCCTGTGCATTGGTTGAATATTATATTCTGGTAGAAATGGCTGACTGCATTGATAGGTAGCATATTGAGTTCTGAACCATATTTTAAATATGTTTTTAAAAATTTAGTCTGTGTATTTCCCTTGTTTCTGATTGTAGTGTACTCATTTAATGTAGGCAGGCAAGGCTGTAAGAGTTCATCTTTGCATCTATATTTTTTCAAATAGCAAATTTCTCTACATAGACATAATGTTGTTTGCCTATCTAGAGAAGTAGTAGCATGTGTTAGAGAGCTAATAGTGGGAGTCTGATGAGAGAAGAGACAAAATTGATTCCAGGATGTACCACTTCAGGTAAGTCATTTGTCTTCAAATCTTAGTTTCTTCATTTATAATTTGAAGTGCTGATAGTAAACTTTACTTCCTGTTGTCACAATGTACTAATGAACGAGATGGTCCATGGTTATACTCTTTCAGTCTTTCTTTTGCTTGTCATTTGGCTCTTCTTGCTCAGAGCTGTTTGTGGACAAAACTAGCTGATAGAATCAGTGAATCATGAATCAGCAGTGATCTAATCATGTTGGATACCTAGGTAAAGTCAGAATTCTATTAGCAAGGAAAAAGCAGGGCACTGGCAAGTGGGCAGTCATCATTTTCTACCACACTCTTATTAGTTATCAATATCATTGAAAAATGAGGGGGAAATTCATTAGATTAAAAAAGTAGTCCAGCCACTGGAGGGTAAATGCATACTTTAATATACAAACTTATCCTGACATGGAAGGTACATTTTGAAATTTCTTGGGATTTTCCATTGATTTCAAGAGAAAAAATTAACTCCTCCAAGTTTCTGAATTAATATGCTTTTATCCCAGGCATAGATAAATCCCATTAAAAAGTATACAATAATGTTATTAGTTACAGTGTGATGTAACAGGCCAGCCTGCCTTAATCGATTATTCTATAATATGACTTTCTACCCTAAATTCAGTATTTTTGCAGCCCTTGGGTATCCTTCACTAAACTATTGTCAAAGCTTTCCCAAGAAATTGGGTGCCTATAAAGTTGAATGGGGCTGGGTGTGTGGCTCATTGGTAGAGACTTGCCTACCATATGTGAATCTCATGGTTTAATCTCCAGCACTACAAGAAAACAACAAAACAACAACATAAAGTTGAATCATTCTTTGGGGGAAAACACAGTAAAAACAAAAGAAATCATTGAAAACCCAGCAAAACATTAAGATCAGTCTAAACTAGCACAAGACTGTAAAGACAACAGAGTTGGGTCAGGAGTCAGGCTTCCTGGTGGACCTGCTCCAAGGTGCAGTGGGCCTTCTTGGAGGCTTCTCTCCCTATCTCCATGAACACCAGAGGCTCTGGTCTCAGTTGGCATTGCCAAGTTTAAGGATATATTTCCTGGACTGAAGGAGAGATAACCAAACAGAACTCATGAAGTTGAAATCTTATGTCTAAATGGACATATTTCAGGACATGATTGTCATTTCTTTACTGGCTGTGAACATGTTTTTTCATGTTATTAAGCATTATTATAAATCACCATTTTTGAAAGCTGACAGATATGTTCATATTTCAGAGTATAAATGGGTAATAACTTATTCTTTCCTCTGTACATACAAATCATTTTGCCTGTTTTTGCTATTCTGTGTAATGTTACTGGAAACATCATTGTACATAACTTTATCAGCATCTCAATTTGATTCCTCAGAGGAAAGAACGTACATCTGAGTCAAGGAACTATTTCCTTTTAATACACAAATTTTTTTTGTTGGTTCTGGGATTTGAACTCAAAGCCTACAATTTGAACCACTCTACCAGAACTTTCTTGTGATGGATTTTTTCAAGATAGGGTCTCTCAAACTGTTTGCCTGGACTGGCTTAGAACCATGATCCTCCTGATCTGTGTCTTCTGAGTAGCTAGGATTACAGGTGTGAGTCACAAGTGCCTGACAAAACATAATTTTATTATAAGTATAATTCATGTTTATTGTAGAAGGTACGGTAAAAGGATAAAGAAGTAGGCCAGGCATGGTGACTCATTGATGTGATCCCAGATACCTGGGAGGTGGAGATGGGAGAATTGTCACTCAAGGACAGCCTGAGCAAAAAGTTAGCTACACCCTATTTCAAAGAAAAAGCTGGGTGTTGGGGTGATGTAATCTCAGCTGTGCTGGAGACAGTTAGGAGGATTCTTGTCAGAGGCTCACCAGAAGCAGGAGACTCTTTCTCATCAACAACTAAAACAAAAGGACTGGGGGTGTGGCTCAAGCCTGAGGCCCTAAGTTCAAACCCCAGTACTGCCAAAAAAAAAAAAAAGTTTATAAAAAAGGAAAAAAATTGCCCTACCATTTAACTATTATCCTTGTTAATATCTTGGCATCTTTCTCTTTTGTTAATTTGTTAATATTTTGGTGTCTCTTTTTTTCTGTATATATGTCCATATCTATTTACCCAAATATAGATTACTTTTACCACTTGAGCCAATCCACCAGCCCTGTTTCATAAATATAGATTACTTTTACAGATATATTCTTTGAAAATAATTTTGATTGGCTGTCTAATATTGTCTTATGAATAGCCTATAATCCATTTACCTGTCCTTTTTTGGACAATTAAATAGTTCTTTTTAAAAGATATTTATCTGTTTAATGATCAGCTGCCAGTATGTTAGGTTCTGCCCGGCTGTGAAGATAGGGCGCAAGGATGTCTTTTGCTTTCTATAAGCTTCATTAGAAATACTTCTCAAATAACTGCAGTCTTAACTGTTAGAGGGGAAATGTGTGGGTGCTGTGAAAATATCTTAACAGGAAGACTTGGGATTGATCCCCCAGGAAAAGAGGTTTCACTGAGAGCAGCCTCTCGTCAGGAAGAGGTTGGGAGGAGAGTGTGTGCAGAGGGTGTGGCCGGAGAGGGTGGGATGAGCTATGAGATGGGGAACACTGTACAGTTCCACATGCCCATAGGGTAAAGGAGAAATAAGGCCTAGCTGGATCTTCTGTGCCTTGTGTCTCCACAGCCCCCACCCCCAGTGTCATTCTCACAAGGATTGTCATTAGAGACCTGGGCAGGCGTCCCAGTGGCACACTAGCATTCTCCAAGCCCAGTGAAAGGGATCAGTATGAATAAATAAATGTAAACAACCAGGCTGATGGTAGCCAGAGGCATAAAGCATGCAACAAACATGTTTTCACATATTTTTCTCATGTAATCCTTAACAGTCCTGTGAGAGACATCCTTATGTTTCCATCTGCAGATGAGGAAATTGAGGCTCAAGTAAATTCCCCAAGGTCCTGGGGTTAATGAATTACAGAGCCAGAGCTCATGTTCACAAGAGGAGGGCTGGTGCTTTGTGCTCTGTGCTCTTCTTTAGGGCTCCTGCTATCTCACCTTCAGCTAGAGCCACACCCCTTCCCCTCATACTTCACCTGGACAGCTTCCCTGGGAAGACAGTCCATAGTGTCTGTAAGGCGCTGCTATGTGGTCACCATCTGGAAGCCTTGGTACAGGTATATTACTAGAGCTGTCTGCATCAGACTGCTGCACAAGACTCTAAGCAGCCTAGGCAGTTCTAGAGGGCCCCCTCCCTAAGGTACTTAAAATTAAAACTCCCTGTTTCAACATCTTATCATGGAAAACATCAGAGTACAAAGTTGAAGGATTGTAGTGTACTACCATACATCTACTATCAGTGCAGTTTCACTCTGCTTGCTTTACCTCTCTGTCCACAATCTGTCTGATTTTTTTGATACATTTCAAAGTAAATTGCAGGCATCAGTAACATCTCCCTAAACCATTCAGCATAATACCGTGAACCACATAGAGGCAAATATATTGACGGATTTTTCTTTTCTTTCATTTGTTTTTAGTGGGACTGGGGGCCTTGTGCTTGGAAAGCAGGTACTCTACTACTTGAGCTGTACCCCTGTCCATTTTTCTCTGGTTATTTTGGAAATGGGAGTCTCACAATCTGTTTGCCTGGACTGGTATCCAACTGCAATCTTCCCAATTTCAGCCTGTCTAATTGCTAAGATTGCAGGAGTGAGCCACTATTCTTTTGATATAAAACTTGCCTGCAATTCTTAAAAGTATAGTCATCCCTTGGAATCCTCAGGAGATTGGTCCAGGACACCTCAAATAACAAATAGATAAAGACCAAATAAGTACAAAATATTTTCTATAAAATATTATTTGAGTAAAGTTTACTGCACATTCTCCCAAATACTTTAAATCATCCATGGAGTACTTATACTACTTAATGCCATGTAAATAATTGTTATATTTTATTGTTTGGGGAATAATGACAAGGGACGATGTACATGTTCAGTAAAGACAAGATTTATTAGAATATTCTTTTTTTGGTTTTTTACCTGTACTGGGGTTGTGAATTCAGAGTCTCATGCTTTCTAGTCAGGCACTCTACCACTTAGCCACTCTGCCAGCCCTGTTTTGTGTTGGGTATTTTAAAAAAATAAAAGTCTCACAATAAAAGTCTCCCAAACTATTTTCCCAGACTGCCTTCCAACTTTAATCCCCCTGATCTCTACCTCCTGAGTGGCTAGGGTTATAGGCATGAGCCACTGGCACCCAGAAAATTCATTCCACTTTTTTCTTTTTGGTGGTGGTACTAGGGTTTGAACTCAGGGCCTTGTATTTGCTAGGTAGGTGCTCTACCACTTGAGCTACACCTCCAGCCCTAAAACATATTGCAGAGGTTTTTAGTTTATTTGTTTTTCAGTGGTACTGAGGCTTGAACTCTGAGCCTCACACTTGCTAGGCAGGTGCTCTGCACTTGAGCCATACCTCCAGCCTCCAATTCTTTTATTGCATGCCCTTATCTCAGCTCCTGTCCCAGATAGAGCTTTAAACTCTGATCTCTGGATATCGAGTTTGGCAGTGTCCCCCATGCCACCGGGTGGACCACTACACTTGCCTTATGTTTGTTTTTTGTTTTTTGTCTCTGGAACTTTTTCCTTTCCACTGAGGTCAGTTATATGTTTGAGTAGGTACTTGAATTATGTTATGCAACATGTATGGGTCCTTTGTAGCAGGAAGGTTTTGAATTTTTTCTAGTATTCCATATGACCAGAAACGAAAACTATGATGAAATAAAAATGGTATTCTGTGATTCTTAGAAAAGCAGCTTGTTTTAGAGATTATGTCTGTACACACACACATACACAGACAGAGAGAGAGAGAGAGAGAGAGAGAGAGAGAGAGAGAGAGAGACAGACAGAGAGAGACAGAGACAGAGAAAGAGAGAGAGTGTGTGATCCCAAGCATGTGGGTTTTTGAATCATGATCTTTTTTCCCTGTGATGTCCTCTCTGTTTTCTTTACAGGGCACAGCACTGAGAAAGCAAAATAGTTTTGTGTTTTGGGAATTCTGAGCATTCAGAAGGCATCCAGACATGTCCTTGGATGACATTAAGATGAAATCCAGTGACCTCCTGGAGAGGGAAAATCTAGACAGTGGAGGCTTTGGGGAGGTGTCCTTATGTTTACACAGTACCCATGGATTTGTGATCCTGAAGAAGGTGTACACAGGACCCAAGCGCACTGAGTGAGTTGGGAACAGAGGTGGGTGGGCCACACCTCAGCTGGCGATTATCATAGTCAATGCATGGATAAGAGCAGTCCAGGTTTTAGATGAGGTGGGCCCTGGTGGGAGTCTTAGGACACCAACTAGATCAGGGGTGATGATGACTTACTATTGTGTCATCTCTGATGAGACTCTTTTTAGGCTAGTTAGTGAAAAGCTAGTCAATGAAAGAGAAAGGCAGGGGAGGAAAGTCAAGAAAGAGAAAGAATGCGAAGAAAACAGTATGGATCAGTGAAAATAGAGTTGGTAAGCACAACCCTAACCATGAAGAAGGCAGCTTCCTTCACGAAAAGTGCTAAGAGCTCTCTCATGCAGCTGGTAAAGGGGCTCTACCTCTCTGTGTCTTCCTAGGACTGGTTTTGAGGGGCCTTTTTGTACTGCAATCCAGTGCAGTCCGTCTTCAGGCCACGTGGCTGCTGTCACTGAACTGTTCATTCATTGATTTCCATGTCTTGAGCACCCACTGCCAGTTACTGGGAAGGCGAGATAGAAAGAGGAAGGAGAAGCCCCTCTGCCCTTGTGATTTGCACAGGAGAGATCAGAACAGACCTAAGAGTGACAGACATGACTGATGTGATGCATTAGGAGTGCAGTGGGGTTCTTGGGCACAGGGAGAAGGGCTGGCCCCACCCACCTCAGCTTTCCTGCCCACAGGTACAACCAGGCCCTCCTGGAGGAGGGGAAGATGATGCATAAACTGACACACCATCGGGTGGTGAAGCTTCTGGGAGTCATTATGGAAGAAGGGAACTACTCCCTGGTGATGGAGTTCATGGAGAAGGGCAACCTGATGGGCGTGCTGAAAGCCGAGGTAGAAGACACCTGGCTGCTCTCTGTGTGCAGTGCCTTGGGCCCTAGCTGCCTGTTAGGGCTTCCATAGGCATGTTCGTTTGTTGCTTGCTGATATAAAATAATCCCTGTGTGAATTGCTTATAGTTTGGACTTTCTGCATTCAATCCCTCCTTAGACCTTCCTTGCTTCTGTCTGTGGGGTAGGGTGGGGGTGTTGTCTCTTCCTCCTCTCATTCCCCCTGAAAGTTCCCTGCATCACTACTCCAAAGGTCCCCTCTGTATCTTGGTTCTGTGGTTGACTTTTTACCATACCTCCCAGCTCTCTATGGTCCACAGTTCAGAGGTAGGCTTGTCTTCAGAAGCACATGGTCTGAAGTGGGGTATATGTGTAACAAATGACAAATATGAAAGCATGTGGAATATATATGACTGTGACACAGATTGTTAGATCAAAGCATGTGCACTGTATGTAACTGTGACAGCTATGGAATGTGCACTGTATGTGACTATACCCTTTAAGAAACTTGCAGGTTAAATATAGAACATAAGCCACAACAACGGACAAGAATTAAAGCAGGAAAATAAAACTTATTTACCAATACCAAATGTTTTCTGAAATATTTTGAAAAGTTTATATAAAAGTCTTGTGCTGGTTACTCAAGAGGCACTAGCCAATATAACAGAAGCAGTAAAAGGAGACAGATAAGTGAGTGACTGTATAGTGTGATGTGTTTGATAGTCATACCATAGTCTGTGATGGAGCATAGAGGAGAGACCACCCCAACTTGGGATAAGTGGGAAGGCTTCCAGGGTGAAGGACAAGTAGAAGCTTTGAAGCAGATGATTATGGAATAGGTGTTCCAGACAGACAATACTCTGTGCAGAGGATGTCATCTTTACAGAGCTGCAAATCACTGGGTTTGGCCAGAGCATAAGTTGCATGGCAGAAGTGGCAGAATATGGCAACCTTTATGGCAAATATTTCCCCCCTTTTCATCCTCTTCCCCACCTCACAACTACTAAGTCAACAGAACTCTCTCAGAAATTCAAACACTTATGGGGAGGATGAAAGATAATCACTTACACACATTGTATTGTAATTTGATCAGATTTTTGCCCTCTCACAAACCAGGTAAGATCAGCCACATGAATGAAGTGGGTGTTTTGGGTGAGGCACGGGAGCTGCCTATAATACCAGTTACTCCCAGTTATTCTAGAGGTATAGGTAGGAGGATTGAGGTCCAAGACTACCCTTGGGCAAAAGCAAGACCCTACCTGAAAATTAAACTAAAATCAAAAAGGGCTGGGTGTGGCTTAAGTAGTAGAACATCTGCCTAGCAAACATAAGACCATGAGTTCAAACCTCAGTATCACCAAAAGAGAAAAAAATACCAGAAGATGTTTTGATTGGGCAATAAGTCATTTGGGACTGGAGGCACTCTGTAGGATAAGGTGCACCCTTGTAGAGCTCAAGAAAAAAGATGGCAGGATTCAAGAGAAAAGCAGGAACAGAGTGGGAGGGAGACAATTTGACTTGCTCAGAATTTTTTCCCAAGTCCAAAAGTATGCCAAAGAAGGCAACAAATCTCTTCAGCTACTTTTAAAATTATTTATTCATTTTAAAAATGAACCTTGCTATGCTGGTTGCCCAGGTTGGCCACAAACTCATAGGCTTAAGTGGTCCTCCTACCTCAGCCTGACAAGTAGCTACGACTACAGGCATGTGCCACCACACCTGGCCTTCTGCTATTTTTGCATTGTGGTTAAGCTACAGATGCTGTAGTTCAGCTGCATTACGGGTTAAGTATGGTTTGAGGGGTGAACTTGGAAATCTAACATATCATTTAAAATTTTCCTATTAACAACCAACATACACAGGTTTTTAGGAATCATTTTGTTTCTAACCTGGTTTCTCAGTGTTAAGAAAAACTAAAAATTGACCATTAAAACAGAAGTGGAATTGTTTATACCAACATTGGAATTGATATAACTAGAATACTGTAAGAGTGACCTGAGAACTACAAAGACCTAAAGTGTCTGACACCAGATAAATAGACGATGGCTTACTTCAACATAGTTTTAGATTCATGCCTATGGCATGGATTTCTACATGTTTGTAATCATGTAGAACTTACTTGCTTGTATTCTTTTTACTCTAACATTATTTCGCATGCACAGTTTCCTGACATAATTTGTGTATTTAATGTAAGTAACCACATCATACCATATGAATATGCCATGAAACATTTGTCTGTCTTTTGCTCACTCATTCACACATTCTAGGCACCGTTCTAGGGACTGAGAATACAACTCTAGGTGATGATGGTGGGGATGGTGATGATAATGGTGACAAAGATTTCATGGCATATTCCTATGGTACCTGATGGGCATAGACCTAGAATCGCTACCCTCGGGCTCAGGTCCCACTGTTCTTTAATGGCATGGCTGCTCTGCTCTGTGCAGTTATCTGGCCAGTTCACAGACTTACTGTCATTTGTTTCAGGTCAGTATCCCACTTTCCGTAAAGGGAAGGATAATTGTGGAGATCATTGAAGGAATGTGCTACTTACATGGAAAAGGAGTGATACACAAGGACCTGAAGCCTGAGAACATTCTCGTCGACAATGACTTTCACATTAAGGTGATCTACAGGCTTCCGAAGACTGAGTCATTTCAGTTCTAAGTTCCCCTCTGAAAATCCATTTTTACAGTTGATTAAGGAGGACCTAACTCAGTGTATAGCACAGTGTGCTGCCAGAAGGCTCTGCCAGGATCTGAAAGGACCAGTGCAGACTCTGTGCAGTTGGGAGAAAACTGAAAGAGGGAGCAGATCTTTCGGATAGGAGGGAAATGTACCAAGCAGGCGAGCAAACCTCTCTTTCCCTCTGTTAGGCTTTCAGATGGAAACATTTGAGGGTTGCCTTGTTCACCTGGAAGGGGCCACGTGCCTCTCATTTTCCTCAGAAGATCTGTGGATCAAGCCTCCTCTCTTTTGGAAATGCAGGGAATGCGAATGACAGGTGTTGTGGAAAATCCTTAGAATTCAGATGTGGCGGGAGAGTTAGATCAGCATGAGTTGACCAGTTGGGGATCAAAAACATCTGCTTTTAGGGCTGAGGGTGTGGCCCCAGTAGAGTGCTTGTTTAGCATGTGTGAGGCCCTGGGTTCATTCCAGCGCCAAAACAGGTCTGCTGTGAGATTTAGCTGATTTAAGTCGTTTGTTTACTTCCACCTGCGTTTTTAAAAATCGATTTCCTTTTGAAAATTCTCCCCTGTAGGAAAGGGAAGAGGCCTACTTAAGCCCTAGGTGAACAAGAGGGAGCGAACAGCCCATCTAATCAATTTTGGCAGCTGAATCCAAGAATCTGAAAGGGGCCTGGGAGTGTTGCACAGTGGTAGAGCCCTGGGCTCCATCTCCAGAACCACACCAAAAACAACACAAGACCCTGAAAGGGAGAGCAGCCTGGGGAAGGAGCTTAGCATCTGCCTGCCGGATTCTGAATCTTGAAAAGATTTTTATCCCTAAGTCTTGAAAGAAGGTCTTTTATTTAAGTTAATGACCTATCACTTACATTCTGGGTTAAAATCAACTTGAGATATTCATGGGCCACAGCTCATCCCCAAATACTTGCTTGGATTCCTGGAGACAGAAGTGGACCTGTCACCTCTGAGTCTTCCTTAACTGTCTTGTTGTTCTACTCTGTACTTCCCTCTTTGCTCCATGTCTGACCTTGCTATTTTTCTCTGCTTTTTTGTCTGTTTTATTTTCCTCTACCCAATCCTGTCTTCTCTTAGGTTCAGGCTACCAACTCAAAACAAGCAGCAACAGCGTCCTTATCCTTGGGTGTCTCTTTGGATCCTCAGAAACTCATATTCATGGCCTCTGGATGCCATGTGGGAATAGAAGGTGTGGTAACCAGTTTCCATCTTATCCCCAAATCTGCTGAGAAGAAAATCATGTTTTACTCTCTGACTCCAGAAATAGCCAGAAAGCATATGTAGAGTAAATGAGGAATAAGAATAAACACATTTTGTTATTGTTGTGATGTCAGACATGTCTTCTGTTTCCCTTCCCTTTTATTAAGTTACCATAATTTCACATGGACATTTCTTGAGGAAGATTTTCTAGATGGCTGAGGAAACACTGAGTTTCTATGAGTCTCTTCAGAGTTAGCTGCTTTATATCCAGCCAGTATCACCATTTCTAGAAAATTCACTGAGCTCACATCTATTGGATAAGTCCCAAGTTTAGTGAAAAGTGAAATCTGATTTGCTGGTAGCCTTCACACAGTAATCCCATTGGCTGACCTCTTTTGCAGATAGCTGATCTTGGCGTTGCTTCCTTTAAGACGTGGAGCAAACTGACTAAAGAAGAACACAATGAGCAGAGGGGAGTGACTAGCACCTCTAAGAAAAATGGCGGCACCCTCTACTACATGGCCCCTGAGCACCTGAATGACATCAACGCAAAGCCCACCGAGAAGTCAGATGTGTACAGCTTTGGCATTGTACTTTGGGCAATATTTGCAAATAAGGAGCCATATGAGAGTAAGAGGATTTTGATATTAATCCAAACAGATGAAATAATAGCCTTCAGTGAAATCAGTGAAGATTTATAATTGATTATTCACTTAGTGGCAGTCTGTAGTTCCACAAGAGCTACTACCACATCTGATTTATTCACACCCATTTCCTTAGCAGCTGCACACTCACACACAGTGCCTGGAACATAGTAGGTATTCAGTAAATTTTTGTTGAGTGAATTAATGATTCAGTTTAGGAATGAGATAATTGGATGAATAGGTGCCTACATAATGTATGTAAGCTTGGGAAGTGCTCTGAAGTTCCATGATTCTTACTGGATGAGAAACTGCTTGCTTCTGCTTATGAGAACTTAGCCTTTTGTACTATAAGGCATGCAGTTCATACTTTCACTCACTCACTCCATTCAAAAACTGATTTTTTTCTAGTACCTACTGTGGCACTTTACTCAGCTTTGGGAATATATGAGCAAGTCTGGTTCTTGCCAGAGAACAGATATATAAGCAGTCATTCTTTGGTTCATTAAGTGAATAAACCAAAGGACATTTTCCCATATACTCTTTCTGTGGGTAATTAGTGCCTATGCTTTCATTCATAATCATCTCTTTGCTGATGCCTCTGATAGCTCTGTCTCTGCCTGTGGCCTGGATATTCATTTACCTGTTAGATCCATTATATACCCCAAGGGGGGCCTCCAAAGCAACATGCTCTGCACAAGTTCACGGTGTGTAAATGCTTGCCCTGGAGCTCCTCCAGCTTTGCTGCTCTTTGTGGTGTGTTCACAAAATGGCACTATCACCTGTCCACTCAGTGCCCACCGGCCATCTCAGACTCAACCTTGCCCCTCACGTCCCACATCCAGTAAGACCTCAAAATGTTATGAATTTGAGCAATGACTGTATCTGGTATCTATTTATTTCTCTCTGCTCTCACCAGCCTGTTGAGTTTCTGCAGCACAATCCTCATGCATTCCACCATCAAATGACAGCCAGGATAGTCATCCCATCCTACTCACCTGTATGCAGTCCTTCCAAGACTCCCCAGCGCCTTGAGTTCAGGTTCTTCAGTATGAAGTATGAGTACCTCTCTGAGCTGACCTTTCTTTCCCTCTAGCCTTTCTCTTGCCTCTCCCTTCTTTGTCTGTATGCCCACTTAGATCGAACTAGTGATTTCTGGGATGCGTTCTGATTTCTGTAATTTCTAATCTATTGATTTCCTGCTTTCCTGGCCTGGAATTGTCCTTCTTGAGTGTGTTTTCCCCTTCTTTACCTGGACAACTCCTTATTTTTCTGGACCCAACAAAACCTTCCTAGATCTCCTATGCTAGTCATGATTTTGTTAACCAGAACCCCTGGTACTTACTTCTAGAACATTAATTATTACTCTATATTTTAAGTCACTCTCATTAAACTGAGATTCTTAAAGGCAAGAGCTGTCTTATATTTGCTTTTGGGGAATACCTTTGGCTTTACCCATACAATCCAGTTGTTCCATGAGAAAGCAGTTTTGTTTTGCATTTGGTCTTTCTTCTGCAGAAATTAAATGTTGTTTGAGCGTCTGTACAGTGGAATAGGTCAGCTCCTTGTCATGAGGCACCCCTACAGAATGAGGCAGCTGTGCTAGAGCACTCCTTTGGCAGAGGCAGATGAGACAAGTTCTGTCTTCCTACCTGAGAGAAAAACAGGACATGAAAGTCTCAGCTACATCTCCTCTTTGCTTTATAGATGCCATCTGTGCGGCACAGCTATTAATATGCATAAAGTATGGGAACAGGCCAGATGTGGATGACATCATTGAGCACTGCCCCAAAGAGATCATCAACCTCATGGAGCTCTGTTGGAAGGCAAACCCAGAAGACCGGCCAACATTTCCTGGTAAGAACAACTTTATGACATGTAGGATGCCGTCACGTGGTGCTGTTCCTAAGTAAGTTATCATCAGGAACTTGGTTTGAGACTTCTGAAAACCAAATTCCACTTTACTTGTAGCTTTAACCACACTTCCTATATTTCAAACATTTTGTTCATTGAAAAGCTGCACAAAGGCATATATGACCTTTTATTTTTTTTCCTTATTTTTGGATTTCACTTTTTTATGTAAGAATATACTTAACATAAAATTTGACATGTTAAATGATTTTAAATGTACAGTTAAGTGGCATTAAGTACTTTTACATTCTTGTGCTCCCATCACCATCACCCATCTCCAGGACTTTTTCACTCTGTACCCATGAAGCAATAACTCTGCATTGCCCTCTTCAGCTCTTGGCTGAAGAACTTGAGTACACTGGGTACCTCATAAGTGGAATCATAAAGAATTTGTCCTTTCAGTTGGCTTATTTCAGTTACCATAATGTCCTCAAGGTTCATCCATATTGTAAAAGTGTCAGAATCTCCTTCCTTTTATGCTGAGTAATATGCCATTATGGTGTGGACCGCATTTGTTTGTTCATTCAATCACTTGCGTTGCTCACCTGGTCTTCTTTCTTTGCTGCTTTTATTTCTGTTCTCTCCCGCCTTTATTTAGCTACCATCTTCAGGAATATCCTTTGTCATTTAGATTGGCCCTGTAGTACAAAGAGAAGCAAGGGAACATGGATGTTTGGCAGGTCCTCACACCTTTTCCCATCCCCCTTGACTACTTAAGAGCTTATAAAGTAGGGCAACGGAAAGAAGTAAGAAAGACACAATAGGAAGGCACTAAGGAGACTGCAAAGCTTTTTGTTATCATACTTCTTTGAGGAAAAAATAAAGCCCTACCCACTACTACCACTAAAGGATTTCAAGGTACTTTGATTTAATTGTCTGCTTTCTTCTGTGCTCACTCTGCCTTAAGCTTCTGGCTTGGTTTTGTCTCTTCTCTCATGACTTTTCACTTTTTAAAGTTAAGGTTCTTGTTTAAAGATAGTGGTAAAATCATATGTAACCATAAGAAATAGTACAAAGAGATCCATGTGCCCATTCCTCACTTTTCCCCAATGGTAACATCTTATAAAACTACAGTATAATGTCACACCAGGATATTGACACTTATAGTCCGATACAGAACATTTCCAGCCTCACAGGACCCTTGTTGCCTTTTATAGCTACGCCCACCTCCTACTGCCCCAACTCTTTCCTCTGGCAACTAGTAATCTGTTCTCTGTTTTTACAACTTTTTCATTTCAACAATGATATAAATTGAATCATACAACATGTGGCATTTTGAGATCATCTATTTTCCGCTTAGCATAATTTGCTGGAATCACCCAGGTCACTGTACGTATCAATAGTTGGTTCCTTTTTATTGGTGAGTGATACTCCACTTGTGTGCACATACCACAATTTGTTTAATTATTCACTCCTTATAAGACTTGTTTCTGGATTTTGACTGTTGGAACTAAAGCTGCTACAAATTTTCATATATATGTTTTTGTGGAAATGTAAGTCTTTATTTCTCTGGAATAAATACCCAAGAGTGCAGTAGCCAAGGTTGTATGGTAGTTTCATTTACAGTTTTTTAAGAAACTGCCAAACTTTTTCAGAGGGGCTACACTTTTATTTCCATTACCACACCAGTGTATGAGTGAACGAGGTTATCTGTATTTTCATTGGCATTTTGTGGTATCACTGCTTTTTTATTTTAGCTATTCCGATAGGTGTGTAGTAATATATTACTGTGGTTTTTAACTTGCATTTCCTAATGGTTAATGATGCTGAATAGTTTGTCATATGCTTTTTTGGAGAGTATATCTCATCTTTTATAAAACATCATTTCTTTTGCCCATTTTCTAATTGGATGGCTTGCTTTTTAACTGTCAAGTTTTTAATGTTCTTTATATATTTTATATGCTAGTTCTTTTTTGGATCTCTGGTTTGCAAATACTTTCTCTCAATCTATACCTTGTTTTGTCACCCTCCTAATAATCTTTCCTAGCGTCAAAGGTTTTTATTTCAATGAAGTATAATTTATTAATATTTCTTGGATTGTACTTTTGGTATTAATTTGAGGAAGACTGTTAGAATTAGATTGCAAATATTTTCTTCTATGTTTTGTTCTAAAAGTCTTATGGTTTTATATAAGTCTCTGTTTAAGTGTGGTAAATGTTAAGTCCATTTGTCATGTAAGAGTCATTACAAATTTTTATTGCTAACAGAAAAGCAGTAGCACAGGACGAAGTATTTATTGTCTGTCTTTCTTGCTAGTAATGGGATTTCTAGCTTGTTGGAAAAATACCATGATCCATTTGAGTTAATTTTTATAAGGTCTGAGATTTAGGTCAGGGTTCATTATTTGGTCTATAAATGTCCACTTGCTCTAGCACCATTTGTTGAAAGTCTGTCCTTCCTCCAGAAAATTGTTTTTTCTCTTGGTTAATTTCTTGTTTAGAAATTAGAACACTTTTCTGAGTTCTCTGTTCTGTTCCTTTGTTCTGTGTATCCATCTTTCTACCAATATTCATAATTGTTTTAGAGCAATATCATAAATCATGAAATGGATAGACTGTTTTCTTCATCTTCAAATTTCTTTTAGCTACCTATTTCCTTTAACATTTAACATTAGAAAAATCTGTGTATATCTACAAGAAGGTCTTACTGGAATTTTGATAGGAATTAAATCCATATGTCCATTTAAGGAGAATTGACATTTAGAGTCTACTGATCTAAGAACATAGTATGTCTCTCCATTTATTTAGATCTTCATTGATTTTTTTTCAGTGTTGTGTAATTTTCAGCATAAAGTCTTAAATTTGTATTCTTTTTTTGTTGTTGAACAGTAATAAGTATTGTTTTTTAAATTTCAATGCCACGTATATAGAAATTACAGTTAATTTTTGTATGTAAACCTATCTTGCAACTTTACTCACTTATTCTAGGAGGTTTTTTGAGATTTTTAAAAAATATTTTCATACTATCTCCAAGTATGGACAAGTTTATTTCTTCTTTCTGATCCGTATGCCTTTTATTTCATTTTCTTGTGTAATTGTACTGACTAGAACTTCTAATGCTGTCTTGAACAGTATCAATGAGAACAGGCATCCTAATCTTGTTCCCAATTTTTAGGGGAAGGCATTCAGTCTTTCGTTGTTAAGTATGGTGAGGTAGCATCATACATCAATGTGTAGAGTGGTATTCTCAAAACATTTGCTATAATTCTCCCATGAAACCATGGGGACCAGGAGATTCAGAGAGGGGGAAAGTTTTTCAGTTATGAAGTCAAATTCCTTCATACTTACAGGGCTGTTCAAGATAATCTATTTCTGCCAGGTACCAGTGGCTCACACCTATTATCCTAACTACTCGAGAGGCAGAGAACAGGAGGATAGATGTTCAAAGCCAGCCTGGGCAAATAGTTCACAAGACCCTATCTTGAAAAAAGCTTTCACAAAAAAGGGCTGATAGAGTGGCTTAGGATGTAGACCCTGAGTTCAAATCTCAGTACCAAAAAATTTTTGAAAAGATGATCTGTTTCTTACTGGGGTAATTATGGTAGTTATGAGCAAATCATCATTTCATCTAAGTTGTTAAGTTTATGTACATAAAGTTGACTTTAATATCCCTTATATTTTTATGTCATAGAGTCTATAGTGATATTTCATTCCAAATATTGGGAATTTGTACCTTCTTTTTTATCTTTTTAGTCTTACAAGAGATTTATCAATTTTATTGATCTTTTCAAACAACTATTATATTTCATTTATTTTGTCTATTGTTTTTTGTTCATATATTTATTATTTCCTTCCTTCTGTTTGCTTTGTATTTTTTTTCTCTTCATTTTCTAGATTCTCGAGGTGGGAACTTAGATTTTTGATTTGAGACCTTTACTGTTTTTAATGTATATATTTATTACCTTAAATTTCCCTCTCAGCCCCACTTTAGTTGAGTCCCACAATTTTTGACAGGTTGTATTTTCACTTTCATTAGCTTTAATGCATTTATTTACTTCCTTTGGGACTTCTCTTTGACCCATATATTATTCAAAGTGTTTTGTTTAGTTTCCAGTAGTTTAGGGACTTTCTTGTCCTCTTCCTGTTAATTGATTTCTGGCTTGATTCCATTGTAGCCAAAGAATACATTCTGTGTGCTTCAGTTCTTTCAAAATGTTGAGAATTGCTTCATACCAAGGTTTGGTCTCTCTTGGGATATGTTCTGTGGGCACTCAAAGAAGAATACTTAGAGGGCTGATGAAGTGGTTGAAGTGATAGAGTGCCTGCCTAGCAAAGCCTAGCAAGTGTGAGGCCCCTGAGTTTAAGCCCCAGTACCACAAAAAGAAAAAAAAGAATACTTGGATATTCTCCTGTTGGATAAAATGTTCTATAGATCTTGATTAAATCCTATTTCTTGATTTTGTTGTGTTTTTCAATTATCTTTGCTGATTTTTCTGTCTAACTAGTCTTTCAGTTATTGAAAGATAGGTATTTAAGTCTCTAAGTATAATTGTAAATCTGTTCCTGTTTTTAATTATATTGTCCTTTACTTTTAATGTTTTGTATCTGTGTTGTTCGGTGCATACACATTTAGGATTGCTGTGTCTTCTTGGTGGATCGATCCTTTTATCATTATGTAAATGTTCCTTTTTTTTAAGTTTCAATTTTCTAAAGCTGGAAAATTTTCCCATACTTCAGTTTAATTTTTTTATTAGTGTACTGGGGGTACAACATTTACAAAAGTTCTCACAATATATCATAGTTGAATTCACCCCTTCCATCATTCTCCCCTAAAATGTCCCTTTCTATTGCTGGTAATTTTCTTTGAAGTCTTGTGAGGTTAATATAGCTACTGTGTTTTTCCTTTGACTAATGTATCTTTTTCTGTCCTTTTTTTACTTTAAGCTACCTAGATCATTATATGTGAAGTGAGTTTCTTATGGCAGTGTAAAGTTGGGTCATGTTTTTTAAATCTCTTTCACCAACCTGTTTGTTTTAATTGGTATATTTCTACCATTTACATTTAATGTAGTTACTGGTATGTTAGGAAGTCTTCAATTTCATTTTTTCTGTTTGTTCTTTTCTGCTTTTAATGTCTCTACTTTCTTTTTGTGTTAACTTTCCATTGCTATAGAAATATCTGGGATAATCAACTTATAGGTTATTTTGGCAACATTTTTAGAGGTTTTAGTCCACGGATGATTGGTCTCATTGCTTTAGGACCTGTGGCAAGACAACACATCATGATGGAGCACAAGGTATAGTAAATTAGTTTACTTTATGGCTAGGATGCATAAGAGAAAGGAAGAGGAGGGGCCATGGTCCCTAAGTCCCAGTATGCCCTTCATGGTCACACCCTCAGTGACCTAACCTCCTCTACCTTCTAAAGGTTTCACTCCTTTCAAATAGTGCCACAAGCTAAGGGCCAAGTCTTTAATACATGAGCCTTTGGGGGAGCAGTCAAGATCCAAACATCGCATTTTCACTGCCTTCCTATGGGTTATAGAACATTTCTGTGATGTATCTATAGTGTTTTTGAGTTTTTCTCTTTGTATGTTTTTAAAGTAGATTCTCGAGATACTCGCTATCTAGTAGTTCATCAAGTCTACTGATGGTTCATTTTACCAGTTTGAGTGATGTGTAGAAACCCTACTTTACCCTCTCCTGAATATAATCTCAAGTATTTCCTCTTCATAATTTAGAATGCATCAGACAATGTTAGTCTTGTTTCAATTATCATAGTTTAGGAAACTCAAGAGAAGAAGGAACTCCTACTGCATGTACCCTTAGTTTTGATTACTGCATGGTATGTTTCTGACACCACACTGTTTTCCACTGTCCCCAACTTGATGTCCCTAAAATTCAATCCAATTTTGACACTGACTACACAGGTTATCTTCAGACTCCAGTGGTTAAGGGCTTAGTCCTGTGTGACTATACCCACTTCAAATACCAACTGCAAATAGGGTACCTAGGACACCACATCTGCCCAGATGACTACAAATTCAGGTGTTTCATGCACCTCACCTGAGGTTTGGCAATTAATTAGATAGACTCAAAGAATTCAGAAAAATATTTTACTTGTGTTTACCCATTTATTATACTTTATTAAACTCAGAAACAACCAATGGAGGAGATGCCTAAAGCAAAGTATGGGGGAGGGGTGCTGACCTTCCTGACCCTCTTGAGGCACACCTCCCTCCAGTGCTTCTGGGTTTTCACCAACCTAGAAACTCTCCTAACCATACCATTCATGGGTTCTTATGGAAGTTTTATTATATCCGCACAATGGATTAAATCATTTGTCATTAGTGATTGAATGTAATCTCAGTCCCTCTCTCCTTCCTGGAGGTAAAAGGTGTTGTCAAAGGTTCTGCCTTTCTAATCATGGCTCGGTTTTTCTGGTGACCAGCCCCTATTCTGAAGCTGTCAATTCCCCCAACCCTGGTCCAAAAGACACCTTATTCATTTAGGAGATTTCAGAGATTTTTGGAGCTGCCTGTCATGAACCAAATTAGGAACAAAGACCAAATATTTCTTTTGCATTGTACTATATGTGTTATTCCTTCCTGATTTTCCAAGGTGTTGTCTTTTATTAATTGCTTTCCATTTAGAGAACTTCCCTTAGCCATTCTCCTTGGGTAACAAATTCTTACTTTTGCTCTGAAGGACATTTTTGTCATTTCTGAAGGACATTTTTGCTGGGTGTAGGATTCTGTGTTGACAGTTCTTTTCTTTCAGCACTTGAAAAATATGGGGACACTTCTAGTTGCTATGGCTTCAAAAATCATCTGTCATTCTACTTGTGTGCATACATCTTTCCCTGTGAATATTATTTTTTCTCATAATTATTTTTCCTCTAGCTGCTTTCAATGTTTTGTCTTTGTATATTGCAGAGATTTATTTATTATTATTATTTATTTATTATTTATTATTTATCTCAATGTGGATTTCTTTGGGTTTATTTGTTTTAGGTTTTGTTCAGCTTCTTGCCATATTTAGAAATCTTTCAGCCATTATTTCTTTGAGTACTATTTCAGCTATATTTTCTCTCTCCTGTTCTTCTGGAACTCTGATGACATAAATACCAGAGCTTTTGTTATACTCCCACACATGCCTGAGGTAATTTTCTCTCTCTTGTTCAGATCAGCAGTTCTGTCATTCTGTATTCCAGTTCCCTGATTCTTCTCTTCTCCCTCTGTTTTGCTTTTAAGTCCATGAGCTAAGCTATTTATTCTTCCTATTGTGTTTTTCAGCTTTAAATTTTATATCCTTGTGGGTTTTGTTGGTTGGTTGGTGCTGGCCGTAACCTCAGGGCCTTAAACATGGCAGGCATGCCCTCTACCACTGTATTTACCCCATCCTCTCTTTCTTTACTGACACTTTCTGTTCCTCCATTTATTTTAAGCAGGTTTATCATTCCTCCTTGAGCCATTTCAATCGTGGTTATTTCACCATAATTGGTAGGTAATCCCAGTAGTATCTCTGTCATCTCAGTGTTGGCATCTGTTGTCTTCATCCAGTTTAGAATTTTCCTTAGTATCATATTTTTTCCATTGAGGCTTAAACCTTTCCTACTACATCATGAAAGTCTAGATTTTCTTTTGCTGGACTTTTTTGACAGTGCTCTGGCACAGGATTGGCAGTTGCCATCTAGTTAATGCCAGGTCGAGATGGAAATCCATGTGCCCTGCTTAGCCCCATTGATACTGAGTCTGGGACTCCTCTTCACTGCTGATCAGAGATGGGAGTTCTACTGAGTCCACATGGTCTCCACGGCCACTGAGGTGGAGGTGCCTCATGCCCACTGCACAGCAGTGAATATCCCAGATCTCCATGAGGCTACCTCCAAATTTCCCCATTGGGAAGGGGAAGTATCTTATTACTGCCCTGTGGGGTGTAGGGCAGCCTACTGAGCTCAGATAGTGGAGGAGCTCATACCCAGCTGGCAGGCAGGAAGATCCTAGCTTCCTATTTGTCAGTCTCTGACATCACTCTGCTGGGGGTGTTTCGGCATCTCTTATGAGGTTAGAAGTTCAGGTTGTCTACTGGCCCATGCTGGTGAGGATGTGAGTGGAGTCACTGTCTTTTCCTGTGTTTTTGACTAGAAGAGTAGTCATGGGCCAAAGGAGTTTTGTTTTATTTAGTTTTCAGTATTGGGGTTTGAACGCAGAGCCTCCCTCTTACTAACCAAGTACTCCACCATTTGAGCCACACCCCTAGCCGTTTTTGCTTTAGTATTTTTTTTTCCAGATAGGGTCTCATGCTTTTGCCTGTGGCCAGCCTTACAGTGTGATCCTCTTACATCTACCTGCTGACTAATTGGGATTATAGGCATGAGATACTATGCCCTGCTTGTTTTTTCAGCTAGGGTCTCCCTAACTTTTAAGGCCCAGGTTGTAAACCACTATCCTCCTGACTTTACCTTCAAGTGGTCACTGTACCCTGCCCACCAAAGAGTTTCTATGTTGATTGGTTGCCCTTTGGTTGATCTTTTGGCTACAAATAACAGGCTTTTGTTGTTTTTTGTTGATGTTTCTAACTCGCTAGCTTTTCAACTCCAACTCTGGAATATACGAGGTAAATAGAAAGACATGACCCTGCGTTTGCTCAGACCCTGAAGTTCCAGCTGGTCTGCCTTCCTTTTTCCTCCTTCCCAGGGATCGATGTGTTTGACTGTTGTCCTTAGCAGGAGAAATAAGCAAAGCACGTTTATTCCATCTTCCTGGAACTGGAAGTTTCCTTTTCCTTTCAAGGCTGCCTGCTATAACCTTTACACTTATCCTTAACCTGAGTATCCACTCTCATAAATTTGATGCCCGAGGGACAGAAATTTGGAGTCCACTCATCCATGTTCTCTTGAATATGACTAGGCCTTGGTGCGGGCAGCCAGAGCAAGTGTACACTGTTAGATTGGGCCCTCGGTATCCAGTGTTACTCTAACCTTGTTCTGTCTACCCAGTGCTTAGTCCCATTACACTAAGTCAGGGTCAGTAATTGGGAGTTGAAAATGTTATGTTACTGCTCCGCCCATAGATTCAGATAAGTAATTCTAAGATCACAAGTTGACAGTATCTTAATTTTATTTTAGAAAATAAGAAATTTAATGGACTATTTCTTTATACAGATATTGAAGAAAAATTTAGGCCTTTCTACGTAAGTGAACTTGAAGAAAATGTAGACGAGGATGTGGAGACTTTAAAGGTAGGTAGTACAGCAGCTGCTCAAAATATCAACATATCAAAACAAGTATCATGAATCACAAAAACCAAAGCAGTGTAATTTGCTCCTGAGATTTGAAGTAAACTAGCTTGGTGAACACAGAAAACAAAATGAGCAATTACACGCTTATATTATCATATTGGTAAACCGAACTGACTCCTTCATCAGAATGCATGAAATGAGAAAAAATAAATGTACTAATGTATAAACAAAACACAGTATCATTGGAAAAGAGTGGAAAGTACTATCAGCAGATTGGTCATTTTGAGGAATTCTTAAACAGAAAGACATATGGTTCCTAAGTAGAGCATTTGGATAGTATGCATGAGGTGTTGGACTTCATCCCCAGCACTGCACACATGCACATGTACACATGCACAGACCAGAAAGACAGCAGAACTGTATCTTCTGAGAATACAGCAGAACAAAAGACTAGCCCAAAAATGCTGAGGAAGAAGTACTGTGAGCACACAGGCACTGTTGGGGACAGTCATTTGGGAGCCTCATTTATGCTGTCTAGAAATGATGGCTCCTCCTGTACTTCCTTTCTGCTGACTGACTGATGCAGGTGCATCTAAAGCTGAAGCAGGAAGTTTGGTATCTGGGGTCAGTGAAGTATGTCAAAACCCCATCACCAGCTGACCAACAGAGAGAAACAGTGACCGTATGTGTGCACGCGCACACACCACTCACAAACCTTCATACTCAGAAATCAACACAACCTACCCCATAACTTTCTCAGCATCACATGCCCCAAATCATGGAGACTTCAATAAATAAAACAAACAAGCAAAGAGAGATTTGAAAATTTAAAAAAAAAAATCAGGCAGGCAAGAATTGCCAGACTTTGAGGGACTTTTACACTGGAAGAGACAAGAAGCAATCAAAGAAAAAAGGTAAGACTCTAAAGCAAAAAAGCATCATCTCAAACTGAGGAATATTTCATAATGATAAAAAGGTTCATTTTGCCAGACAGACATAACAGCTTTAAATATGGACATACCCCTATTAACATGATCTTAAAACATACAAAGCCAAAAGTTAACAGAGCTCAAAAGCTGGAGGTGTTAGTATACATTTCTCTCTAATTCATAGAGAACGGATCAAAAACATTCGCAAGGCTAGAGAGGAATCAGAGAGCGTATTTAACACGCTGACCGATGGAAACAGTACACTGTGGCAAGTGACTGCCCAACACCTGCCTTTAAACACATTTTAAAAACAGGCATTGCCTTCACAATTGACCATGCATAAAACAATTTAAAAGAATTATAACAATTGTCTTTGTTTTAATTATAGTGGAAATTAAGCTTTAAAAAGATAATCAGAAAATTAGAAGTTAAAAATACACTTTTAAAATACTCCTTGAGTCAAAAAAGAAATCACCATGGAATTTTAAAAGTATTTTTAATTAAAAGCTAACAAAACAATACATATTAAAAACCATAAAATGCACTTTGTTAACTTAACTTGGTACAGTCTCAAATATATGTGTTAGAAAAGACGGCTGAAAATTAGCCTAAAATTAATTAGCCAAACATTTATCTGAAGAAGGTAGCAAGATAAGTGGAACAAAAAAGAGAAAGAAGTAAATAAATAAAAAGAAACCATAGAAAATAGCTCATAGAGGATCCAAAAAAGCAAGTGTTGGTTCTTTTAAAAGACCAGTAAAATTGACTAATTAGGCCTGATAAGAAAAACAGAGACAAGAGTGAAATAATGAATAAGGTGGTATCCCTACCACTCTTACAGACATCAGACAATATTATGAACAGTTTTTTGCTAATTATCTTAAAATTTAGGTAAAATGGACAATTTCTAGGGGGAAATGTATAAAAAACTGACTTAGAGATAGAAGACCAGAATATTCCTATAACCATTAACAGAGTTCAAATCATTAATCAAAACTCTTCCCACAGTGAAAAACCTCATAACCAAATAGCTTCATCAGTGATTTCTACCAAATATTGAATGAAGAAATTATCTCACTGGGTCCAGTGGCTCACACCTATAACTCCAGCTACTTGGAAGGTGGAGATTGAGAAGATACAGTTTGAGGCAAAAAGTTAGTGAGACTGTATCTCAGTTACTAACCCAGGCATGGTGGCATGCACCTACACAAGAGGCCTTAGGTAGGAGGATAGTGGTACAAGGCCAGCCCTGGGCAAAAACCCAAGACACTACAAAAAAAAGCAAAAACAGGCTGGGGCACATGGCTCAAATGGTAAACTGCCTTCCTAGCAAGTTCAGGGCCCTGAGTTCAAACCCCAGTACTAAAAAAAGAAAAAAGAAAGAGAAGAGAAATTATCTCACTCTTACTGAAAGAGGGAAACTCTCCCAAATGTATTTTATACTAGCATAACCTGAATTCCCAAACCCAAAAAAGTGTAAGAAAATAAAATTACAGCAGCCTCATGAAACAGCATAGATAAATCCAAAATAAAATATAAACAATCTGAATCTATCAATGGACAAAACCAAGTTGGGTTTATTCCAAGAATGCAAAATTAGTTTAACTTTTGGAAAACCTATCATTATAATTCATCACATTATCTTATTAAAGGATAAGAAAATGGAGTTTTTCAATAGATGCAGACAAATCAGTTGATAAAATATAGTATTTATTCATGGTGAAAATACTAGCAACCTGGAAAAGAAATTCCTTGTCTGATAAGGTACTGAAACAACCAGAGCAGATGTACTTCTAGACAAAATGCTAACAGCTTTTCTTTGAGAATAACATACAGGACCAGGAAGCTTACACCACCATGTCTGGTCAGAATGGTTCTGGAGGCCCTAGCTTTTATAGCGAGCAAGAGAAAGAAAGAAGAAACGAAGTTGACATTATTCACAGGTACAAGATAAGTAGACAGGAAATTCAAAAGAATCTTCTTGAATCAGTAATAGAGTATGATTTAGTTACAAATCAGTATATAAAAAATAAATTATATATGTCTGTCCTATCAAAAATAATTAGAAAGGGAGCTTAAAAAGATTCCATTTACAGTAGCATAAAAATTCAATTAGTAGTAATAAATCTTACAAAAGATAGTAGCAACTCAATATATAGACTTTCATTGAGAGGCACAAAGTAAGTCCTAAAGAAGAAATACTCCATTTCTTTGTGATTTGGAAGTAAAAATATTGCAAAGATGTCAATTCTTCTCGAATTGTTATATGGAATCACTGCAGCCCCAACCAGAATTCTACTTTGTTAGGTTGGAGGGGGGCGGTATGGGAAGTTAGAATGACCCTTCTGTATGGAATAGTACAGGCGAAGGCAGGAACAACCAAGATACTCTTGAAGAAGTCGGAACTCGTGGTAGGGAAAGGCTTGCCTTACTGGTTTCTTTATTTTTCGGCAGTACTGAGGATTGAATTTATGGCCTCACACTTGCTAAACAGGCGCTCTACCACTTGGGCTATGCCCAGTCCTTTGTTTTTTGTTTGTTTTGTTTTGGTGGTACTGCGTTTGAACTCACAACTTATACCTTGAGCCACTCCACCAGTCCTTTTTTTGTGATGGGTATTTTCAAGATGGGGCTCACACAAACTATTGGCCTGGGCTGGCTCAGAACCGTGAGCCTCTTGATCTCTATGTCCTGAGTAGTGAGGATTACAGGAGTATCCCTTTGGTTATTTTTGAGATAGAGTCTCATTTTATGCCTGGGCCTATCTTGACCACAATTCTCTTATTTGCACTTCCCTGCATAGCTGGGATGACAGTCTTGCATCACCAGGTTAAGATGGGGGTCTCAGAAATTTTTTGCCCTTACTGGCCTCAAACCATAATCCTCTCAATCTCTGCCTCCTGAGTAGTTAGAATTACAGACTTGAGCCACAGAGCCTGGCCCTTTATCAGATTCTTATCAACAATTACCATAAACTATATAATGAGGACAGAGGTGTTGGTATACAGAGACCAGTGGAATGGAGTTGAGATTTTCCTTAGGATCCAAATGTATATAAAACCCCTAATTTTGTTAGAGATGTGTATGTAGTGAAGAAATGATGGTCTTTACAATAAGTGATGCTGTGGTAAAAAGTGAAGATGGACCTCCTACCTTCCACCACACCAAAAAATCAGCTATAGGCTCATTACTGATATAAACATGAAAGATAAAATTATAATGCTATTGGAAATGTGGTAGGAGAATTTCTTCATGTCTTTAGAGTAAGGAACTGTCAACACGATACAAAAGCACTAACCTTAAGGCAAACAGTGGTAAATTTGGTTAGAGAATGCTTATTTATCAAAAGAAACTATTGCAAATGGAATTACCAGCCTCAGAATGGAGAAAAGAACTATAACACCTGTAACCAACAAAAAACTTGAATGTATACAACCAAAAACAAAGACAGCAGCCTCATTAAAACATGAACGAAATATTTGGACATTTCACCAAGGAGAATATTCAAATAGCCAGTAAATATGCCAAAAAGTATACAACCTTTCTAGCAATAGAGAAATATAAATTACAATCATAATGTGATAAAGACATGTCTATAGGTTAGCAAACATGGAAAATTTTTCTTAAAGACATGAAAGAAATCTACATGAGTACTAAAACAATACTGAGTACTATTTATGGATGGAAAGAAAGATGTGCTACACTAAAGCCATCAGTTCTGCCCAACCTCTTTTGTAAGTGGAGTGCAATCCTAATTAAAATTCTAATCAGGTTCTTTATGGAATTCAACAAGGTCATCATTAAATTTGTGTGAAAAAATGTAGAAATATAGCCAAGGAATTCTCATGAAAGAGTCCAAAACAAAGTGGTATTTGAGCAAAGATGGTCAAATAGATCAACAGAAGAGAATTTGGGTCTCGCTCTCCATATCAAAAAAAGAAAAAAAGAAGGGAGGAAGAAGAAAAGGAGAGGAGGTAGGAATGGGGTAAGGAGGGAGGGAGGAATGAGAAAGAGAGGAGAAGAATCTTGCAGGTTGGTTTCTCTAGAAGCAGGAGATGAGTTGGAGGCTGAGGCGCAGGGAAGCAGTAGGAAGCAGGAATGAGCAGAAGTCAGAGGGAATAGTCAAGCCCAACAGAGCTTTGGCAACTGAGAGCAATGAGCAGAAGCTCCTGAGACTTGTCCCTGAAATGGCCAGGACTTCCATCCTGCCTCTCTCTGTCAGGGGTGTAGGCAGCTTGGGAGGGAGCACCTTAGGCATGGCATCTCCTAGCTGCTGAGTAGCTGAAAGAGCTGAGGCTGGGACTCCTTCCTGACTCTGCTTTTCTCTGGGCAGCAAATCCTGTCCTTGGAGAGGAGTCTAAAGACATAGCATGTTGTCTGCAAAGTCCCAAATCAGATTCAGGTATGTTTTAGACATAGAAGTCACAAGATACAAAGAAAAAGACTTGTATTTGACTTCTTGGAAATGAAAAGTCACTTGAAAAGGAGAAATTTTGCTTAATAAAAAAGGATTAACATCCAGAATATATAATGAGTACATACAAATTTAAAACAAAACATAAAAAGTCAAAAGGGGGGAAAGGCAAAGAATATAGGCAGGGAATTAATGGAAAGAAGAAATACAGTTTAAGCAGTCAGCAAACTTGGGAAAATATACTTGGCCTTAACTCACAGAAAAAAATCAAAATCTCATCTGTTAGACTGACATTTTTGAAAAAAGACTGGTAATAGCAAGCATTGACACAAGGCAGAATCACACATCTCATGCCGTCCTGACAAGAGTATAAACACTGGTGGAAGGTGAGCTGCCCACCACCATGGAAAACACCTGACTTATGCTATAGTTCTACTCTTAGTTATCCATCCTCAGTCACATGCTCAAAGATGGAGCTTCAGAAGTTGTTTGCACTTGAGTTGGTAAGAGTGAAAAGCTGGAATGTCCACAGGTAGACCTTACCCTAAATTATGACTTAATTTAAACTACACAGTACTGTACAGCAAGTCTCAAAATGAGGTGGAAACTCATGTGTAATAATACACAGAAAGATCTTCAAGACTTGTTAGTGAAAAACTAAGACACGAAACAATATTATATTATGGTGTGATCTTTTTAATATAATATATAACTGTATATTTCCAGAATGTATGTGCCAAATGCCTAGAGAGAATAAAAAGGCTGCATGCCCCACTCTGAGTAGGGATTACCTATGGGAATGGGACAGGGAGGGTTGGAGGGAATGACACTGAGGTGTTGTTCTGTGTAACTCTGCATTTTTTGACCTTTTCAGAAAAACTTATTTAAATATATTGCATCATGAAAAAAATTATAAAAAGAAAATCATTTCTGCAGAAATTTAGAAACATGTAAAAACACAATATTCAAAATGCTAAAATGCATGAACATAATTCTTTCTGACATTCTTCCCCAAGTCATGCATATAGTTACTCAGCAAACATTTTTTGACCATCCGCCAATGTAGTAGGCACTCTGTTAAGAGCAAAATACAAATATGAGTAAGAAAAAATTTTGAAGTGAAAAGGCTAAAATGTTTTTTACCTTTGAGTAGGTTTTATATTTTAAAAATATGATTTCCTACATTTTTCATATTTCTCTGATGAGTATTTTCTCTAGTGTAAGTATTACTGCTTATATAAGGAAAGAAAAAAATTTGGTGGTACTGGGAACTTTGAACTAAGGGCCTCATGCTTACTAGGCAGGCACTCTACCACTTGAGCTACTCCATCAGTCCTTTTTGCTTCAGTTATTTTTGAGATAAAGGCCTCACTTTATGTCCAGGCTGGCCTGGACCATGGTCCTCCTATTTATGCTTCCTACATAGTTGGGATGACAGGTGTGTGCCATCATAGCTAGCTTTAATTGACTGAGATGAGGTCTTGTGAACTTTTTACCTTAACTAGTCTCGAACTACAATCCTTTCTGTCTCCGACTCTGAAGGAGCTAGGATTACAGGCTTGAGCCACCACACCTAGTCATTTTCTTTTACTATAATAAAATACATATAACATAAATTTTGCTGTTGTAGCCATTCTTAAGTGTACATCCAGTGGCATTGGGCACATTCACAATGTTGGGTAGCCATCTCCACCATCCATTTCCAACACTTCTGTCAACCTGAACACAAACTCTTCTCCTCAGCCCCTGATAATCTTTTTCTGCCTCGGAATTCACCTATTCTAGATAGCTCATAGAAATAAAATTACACAATGTTTTTTTCCATTTCATTCTGGCATATTTCACTTAACAAAATGTTTTTAAGGTTCGTCCATTTGTGTGTTGGAACACAGTATCAGAATTCCTTTTATGGCTGAATAATATTCCATTATATGGATATATCACATTTTCTTTATCCATTATCTGTTGAAGTATGTCCAGATTGTTTTCACCTTTAGCTGTTGTGAATAATAGTTGTGTGGACATTGATATACAAGTGTCTGTCTGAGTCTCTGCTTTTAGGGGATATATATGTTGGAGTAGAATTATTAGACCATATGGTAATTCTGTGTTTAACTTTTAGGCACCATCAAGCCATTTTCCATACCAGCTGTACCATTTTACATTCTCCACCAGCAATTTACAAGACTTCCAGTTTTCTGAATCCTCACCAATATTGGTTATTTTTTGTTTTATTTTGGCCATTCCTATAATTATGAAGTTGTATCTTATTATTGTTTTGGTTTACATTTCCCTAATGAGTAGTAAAGTTGAGCATCTTTTCATGGGCTTGTTGGCTAATTGTGTATCTTTCTTGGAAAAACATCTATTCAAGTCCTTTGCCTATATATATGTATATACATATGTAGGCATACGATTTTTTGTAGTTTTGGGAGTTGGACCTTGCACATGCTAAGCAAGTGCCTACTCTGAGTTATACTCCAGCCCTTTCTTTTCCAATTTTTTAATTGTTTTTGAACCATAGACGTTCTGGGGCTGGCGGTATAGCTCAGTGGTAGAGCACTTGCCTAGAATATTTGTGGTCCTGAGTTCAATCCCCAGCACTACAAAAAGGGAAAAGGTGATTTCAAGCTATATAACCATTCTTTATATATCCTGGATATTCATCTTTTATCAAACATATATGATTTCTTTTTTCCATTCTATAGATCATCTTTTTACTCTCTTGGTGGTGTCATTTAATGTACAGGTTTTAATTTTGATATAAGCAAGTTTATCTTTTTTAACTTTGTTGCCTGTGCTTTGGGTATCATAGTGAAGAAATTGTTTCCAGAACCAATGTCATGAGGCTTTCCCCTTATGTTTTTTCCCTAAAAATTTTTTAGTTTTAGCACTTAAGTTTAAGTCTTTGAAACATTTTGAGTTAATTTTTATGTAAGGAATAAGGTAAGGATCCAGCTTCATTCTTTTATATGTGTACAGACAGTTTTCCTCATTGAATGCTCCTGGCACCTTTGTCAAGAATCTGTTGACCATATATGGCAGGGCTTGTTTCTAGGCTCTCTGTTCTGTTATATTGGTCTGTCAGTGACAGTATCACACTGTTTTGAGTACTGTAGCTTTGTGTAGTGAGTTTTGAAACCAGGAAATGTGAGTTCTCCAGCTTTGTTCATTTGAAGAATCATTTGGGATATTTGGAAGAATGTTTATTTTTTAAAAAAATATTTACTGGTAAAATTTGTGTGAAATTTCTACTTTCTGAAAAGATCCATTCTTTAAATTTTCTGGGACTAAATGTTTTCTGCTATCTTCTAAAGTGTATGTTTATGTTCTTCATTACAGAAAGAGTACCCAGATGAAAATGCAGTTGTGAAGAGAATGCAGTCTCTGCAACTTGATTGTGTGGCATCACCACCAAGCAGGTCAAATTCAGGTAACTTACCCTGTGCTCAAAATCTGTTTATTGTATTGTTTTCTCATTCATTCATTCTACTCTCTTACTACTACTACTACTACTCAGAACCATATCAGAAATAGAAGATGAGGACCTGCCTTGAATGTATGATATATCCTGGATTCCAGTTTTGTTGTCTTTGAAATATTAAGTAACTTTCGGTCACCAAAGTCATAGAGTGTCCTGAGCACAAGAGGCCTGATGTGTGGTAGGAAGAAAGTGGTGTCAGGAGAAAGGGCTGCCACTGACTTGATCCAGACCATGAGTAGAGAGATTGGTCTCAGAGTCCAACAGGGATACCTTTTCATTATGACAAAAGGTAGGGCAGGGTGTAGGATATTGAAGCCACTTCTGTCGGATCTGGAACAAATTGCTTAACCTCACCTAACCCTCACTCACCAAATCCTGATAATAGCTTTACAGAATGAAAGAACCCATGGAATGTGCTGAGGGCCCAGCTGCTGCTGTTCTTGTGTCTACCCTGAGTCATTCTACAGCAACAACCCAAGTTCTCTGCTCCAGCCTATGTCCCTTTCTTTCTGAGTCATCCCTGTTACACTCTTCTGTTGTCCGTAATAATTTCTCCCATGTTCCTGTGGTGCCAGCCAGGGTCTCTTACTGATTACCTATAAAGCTTACGGGAAGAAAACTAAATGCTTTCTACGTTTCTCTTTTCAGCATATTACTTTGAGTGGCAGATACATTATGGTGCTCAAGTTTTATATTACTTTTAAAATTTTTCATGAAACCCACATTGATCGTTTCTTCTCCTTTATAGAGCAGCCTGGTTCGCTGCACAGTTCCCAGGGACTTGAGATTGGGCCTGTGGAAGAGTCCTGGTTTTCCCCCTCTCTAGAGCACCCACAACAAGAGAATGAGCCCAACTTGCAACGTAAACTCGAGGAGGAAGCCAGCTATCATGCCTTTGGCAACCACACAGACAAGCAGACAAAACTGAAGCCTAGACAGAATGTGGCTTACAACATAGAGGAGGAGAGGAGAAGAAGGGTCTCCCATGACCCCTTTGCACAGCAGAGACCTTGTGAGAATGTTCTGAGCACAGAGACAAAAGGTTTTGCTTTTCCCAGTGCAGCCAGTTATGGTAATGTAGTACACCAAGTGACAGGGCTCACTAGTCAACCATACAGGAACGAGTTATATAATTTACATACGTTTGGAGCAAGACCATTGGATCCAGGAACAGCCGCTGCAGGAGCTTGGTATGGACCAAATCCAAGCCAAATGCCTAGTCTGTATAAAACTCCAGTGCCTGAGACCAATCTCTGGGGAAGCACACCTACCATCCCATTCAGCTCCTTGCCACTAACAGGTAAGCATATCTTCATTTTTCTGAAAATAAAGCAGACATTAGCTGTATTGTAGACTGTACATTATCAATGGGGTCAAAGGATAAGTTGTTCAGAGGATCAACTGCCAGATGCAACTTGCCACATTATTTTTTTTTATGGACCAAATTGCTTTTTTTTTCTTTTATTCATATGCGCATACAATGTTTGGGTCATTTCTCCCTCCTTTCTCCTGCCCCCTCCCCCCTCACTACCAGGCAGAATCTGTTTTGCCCTTATCTCTAATTTTGTTGAAGAGAGAGTATAAGCAATAATAGGAAGGACCAAGGGTTTTAACTTACCACCTTAGAATGGTGTCCTCAGACCACTTGGTCTGGAACTATTTCAGTTTTGGCCTAAGACTCACCACAACTGACCATCTGTGTTGGTGTTCAGGTCCTTGTGATAGGTAGTTATCTTCCATTCTACCCTAAATGGCATAGTGGTCCTGTTACACTCAAGTCAGTCTCTCTCTCTCTCTCTTTTTCTCTCTCTATCTTGCTGTTTTCTGAAGGTAAGAAAAAAAGTCTTGGGTATTTTTTTATTTCTTATCAGGATAAAGACTACCATTAGTAATGAGAAATTTTATTTCAATTTCCATATCTCTCTTAGTTGAAGTCAAAGCTAATTGACAGTCGCTATGGATGTTTTAGAGCAGGAATGAATTAATTTAATATCCAGGATCATTACCAAATAAAACTTGCCAACATTACCTGGATACCTGGATGGCATCCATTAACCATAACTTCCTGTGTCCTAGGAATCCTAAAATCAGTATAGGTAGAGCAAGCATTGAAAATCATAGAGCTTTCTAGGTTGAGGATATAGCTCAGTGACAGAGTACTTGCCTGGCATGTGCAAGGCCCTGGGTTCAATCCGCAGAACTGCAAAAAACAAGAAAATACTAGAGATCATTATCACAGTTTCTTTCAAAAGTGCAAATTTTCCCAAAAAAACTCCTATGGAAACATTCTGGATTTTTTTTCATCTGTTTTGTTGTAGGATTTATTAAATGCAAAATACTGGATAATCAACTGAATGAGCTGTCCTTTAGTTTCCTTTATGTATACAACGAAAATGTTTCATGAGTGCCACCATGTAGTTTTATTTATTCATGATTAATTCAATAAAAATTTCTACAGCACTCCCCTCTTCATGCCAGGGAGTTTTCTAGGGACTAGAGATATATACAGTGAGCAAATAGGCTCACTCAAGGAACTTAAATCCTAGTGAGTGGAAAGCAGATTATAACCAGTTTTTTAATGTCAGGTTTTAGTCCTGTCTATATAGGAGTAACCCAAGCTACTTTCTTACCGGAAACCTTTTTTCAGTTCTTCCTCTCCCTCTGGTACCTGGTTCTGTCAAAAAAGCATGTATAGGGCTCCATCTACTTATTGATTCTGAAATACTCTCAGTGAGAAAAGGAGCACAGTGGCATTATCTTGTTTTTGCCCTAAGGATAATCCTGCGAAGTACAGAATTGGTAAATGAACAAGTTGAGTTTCTCACTGTAAATTTAACTGATTCTTCTTTGTACTTGTTTTTGTTGTTATGAAGTAGACCTAACTGCACAAAATGTGAATTTTCTAATTTGCCCTGTCAGATAAGGAGGTTTTATCTGTACCAGTAAGTACAAAGGAAAATAAATATTTTCTTTATTTTGATTAAGGGCCTTTCCTTTTATTCAGTGTACTACTTTAAGTGAGTTTAGAAAAAGGCAGCTCACAGGACTTCAGATTTAGACCTGTGTTCTAGTCCTTTTGGTGACAGTCATTGTCTACATGCATTTGTGCATGCCATTTTATCTCTCTAGGGTTCATTATCCTCAATCATAAATGAAAATGTTACATCAGAAGGTTGAAAAATTTTTCCAATATTGCGTTGGCTCCATTTCACAACTTTTATGGGCTTTCCAGTGGTCAGATTTGGGCAGGAAAGCAGCAAAAAAAAAAAAAAAAAAACCCATTACTTCAAAAATGCAGGCTTAAAGTTAGTTAGAAGAGATAAAGTAGGTCACTACATATTAATAAAAGGAAGTCCATCAAGAAGATATGATGATTTGTGCACCAAGCATTGGTATACTCAGTTGCATAAAATAAACACTGTTAGATAAAAAAGGGACAGATAGGTACAGATATAAAAATAGTGGGTGACTTCATTATTCCACTCTCATCTATAGATAATAAGATCATCCACACAAAACTCAACAAGGAAATTTCAGTTAAACTTCACCATAGATCAAATGGACTTAGCAGACACTGATAGAATAGTCTAAACAATAGCCACAGAATACACATTCTTGTTAGCTCATGGAACTTTCTCCAAAATAGATCACATTTTAGGCCATAAAACAAGTCTTAACAAATACAAAAAAAATGAAATAATTTCTTCTATATTATCAGATCATAATAGAATAAAACTAGAAAGCAATACCAAGAGAGACAATAGAAACTACACAAATACATGGAGGTCATCCAATATGCTTTTGAATGAACAGTGGGTCATTGAAGATACCAGGAGGAAATTTAAAAATTCTTAGAATCAAGTGAAAACAAAAATACAACTTACCAGAACCTTGGGCATATAGCAGAGTTACTTCTAAGAAGGAAGTTTGTACTGTGAGTGCCTATATTGAAAAATCAGATTTCAAATATCCAAGGATGCACCTAAAGCTCTTAGAAAAATAAGAACAAGCCAAACCCCAAATTAGTAGATGGAAAGGAAGAATAAAGATCAGGGTTGAAATTAATGAAATAGAGACTAAAAGACTAATACAAAGTATCAAGGAAACAGAGTTGGTTCTTTGAAAAGATAAACAAGACTGACAAACCCTTAGTTAAAAACTAACCAAAAGAAAGAGGGAAAAAAGCCCAAATTATTAAAATCAGAGATTAGAAAGGGGATATTATAAAGACATCACTAAAATCCAGTGAATTATTAGGGAATATTTTGAGAATTTATATTGCCATACTTTAGAAAATCTGGATGAAATAGATAAATTTCTAGACACATATTACCTAACAAAATTGAACCAAGAAGATATAAACAACCTAAACAGACTTATAATGAGCAATGAGATTGAAGTAGTAATAAAGTCTCCCAACAAAGAAAAGCCCAGGACACTATGGATTTACTACTAGAATTGTACCACATCTTTAAAGAAGGACTAGCACCAACGCTCCTCAAACTTTACCTAAAATAGACAGGGAGGAATGATACCATTCTATAAAGCCAATATTACCCTGAGACACATATTTGTTCATCTGAACACAGATGAAAAAATCCTCAATATAATACTTACAAATTGAATTCAACAACATAGTAAAAAGATCATACACCATGATCAAATTGGTTTAATTCCAGGGATGCAAGTATGGTTCAACATACACAAATCAATGAACATAGTACAGCATATAATAGAATCAAGGACAAAAATCACATGATCATCTCAATAAATGCAGAAAAATCCTTTACAGTATTCAGTAATTCCTTAATGATAAAAACCCTGAAGAAACTAGGAGTGGAAGTAACATAACTCAACATCATAAATGCTACATGTGATAAACCTATAGCCAGTATCATACTAAGTTGAGAGGAACTGAAGCATTTCCTTTAAAATCAGGAATGAGACAAGAATGTCCACTCTCTCTATTTTTATTCAGTATAGTCCTTAAATTTGTAGCCAGAGAAATAAGGCAAGAGAAAGAAAGAAAAGGGATATAAATAAGAAAGTCAAATTATTCCTTTTTGCAGATAATATGATTCTATATTTAAAAGACACTGAAGACTCCACCAGAAAACGCTTAGATCTGACAAATACTTTCAGCAGAGTAGCAGAATATAAAATCAACATACAAAACACAGTAGCTTTTCTGAGCATGCTGAGAAAGTAATCAGAAAATGCCCCATTCACCATAGCTCAAAAAAAAAAAAACCAAAACCCTCAGAATAAACTTAACCAAATAGGTGAAAGACCTCTGTAAAACACTAAATAAAGACATTGGAAGATGGCAAAACCCATGTTCATGATTCAACAGAATTAATATTGTGTAAATGGCCATATTACCAAAAGCAGTCTACAGATTCAGTGCAATCCCCATCAGAATTCCAATGGTGTACTTCATAGAAATAGAAGAAAATCCTAAAACTCATCTGGAAACACAAAAGAGTAACCAAAGTAATTCTGAGCAAAAAAAGAACAGTGCTGGAGGTATCACAGTTACGCTACAGAGCCATAAACAGCATGGTACAGCACAAAAGCAAACACATAGACCAATAGAACAAAGCAGAGGACTCAGAAGTCAACCCTCAGAGCTACAGCCATCTGATTCTCCACAAAGGTGGTAAAAACATGTTGGAGAAAAGACAGTCTTATCAATGAATGATGCTGGGAAAATATGTAGAAGACTGAAACAAGAACCCTGTCTCTCATTCTGTACAAAAATCAATTCAAAATGGATCAAAGACCTTCATGTAAGACCTGAAATTTTGAAACTACTAGAAGAAAACATGGGGGAAACACTTCAAGATATAGGCAGAGGCAGCAAGTCTTCTGAATAGGACTCCAGTAGTTCAGGAAATGAAAGAATTGACAAATGAGATTTCATCAGATTACAAAGCTTCTGCACAGCAAAGAAAATAATAACCAGTATGAACAGACAGTCTATAGAATGAGAGAAAATCTTTGCCAGCTATTCATCAGATAAAGGATTAATATCCAGAATATATAAAGAGCTCCAAAAATTAACAGAAAAGCAAACAATCCAGTCAATAAATGGGTAAATGAATTATACAGACAGTTCTCAAAAGAAGTGCAAATGGCTATTAAATACATGAAAAAATGATCAACATTCTCAGCTATAAAGGAAATGCAAATGAAAACGACATTGAGATTCCATCTCACCTCAACCAGAATGGCTGTCTTCAAGAGGATGGACTGGGGAACCCTTATGCACTGTTGACGGGAATGTAGTTTAGTCCAGCC